CACACACACACACACACACATCCCGCCTCCTGAACTGACAAGGTAGGATCGACTTACCAGTGAGAAAATCCTTGCGGCATTTAATCAAACACGTTTGTGTGTGCGTGGGTAGGCCGCTGCCATCCGGGTGGTACCCTCGCCCGTGTGGTGGGCGTGAAGATTGCCAGCACGGAGGGGGGAGGCACCGCCTTCAGATGACGGGTTGTAACTTCGCTCTGGCCGGACTGGGCTCGTCGTGATGGCACTACCTAAAGACCACAGAACCTAGTGGTGTACGCACATCCGCACATGCAAGCAAAAGTTCGTCCGCGTCACTTTTTCTTGGAGGTGTTACTTGGTACGCGGCGGTGCGAAGCCTTGGACGGTGGTGGGACGAATCCAGAGGACGCAGCGGTGGCGGGTCATCCATGCTTTCTCGAGCTGCAGTTGTTTCTTTTTCTTCATTCTTTCTTGTTTCTTTTAGGCTTGATTGTGATTATCACATAGTACGTGTTAATTATGTAATTATCACATACGTTAATATTTGGTACGACATTAATTGCACTAAACATGCTGAGCATTCATCATTGGAGTAATCTAAGTCCTTGGTTTGACATAAATTGATAGTCAAGATTAATTGGATTTGTTCCTTTCGGCCTTTTTATATCGGTATTATATAGATAAATAAATATTGTAGTTTTTGTAGCATAGTCCATTCGATTGGATGAAGCCAATCCAATGAAAGAGATGTGGCAAATTGAGCACCGTGGGCCATTGAATTTTCTCTTTACTGCATCGGATTTTGTCAAATGTACTATCTCGAAGAATCTATGGTTGAGCTTAAGCCCAATATATATTACGCGTGCGCGCACACACACACTACAAAACATACTTCTACTTTGCTCTAGACTTGCTCTTTCACTTAAACCCATTCATCATTGGAGTATGAATGTACTTCAAAAATCCCATTTATCTTTGCGATGCAACACTGGGTATTCATGTTATTTGCAACTAAAAATTTTAATAAGATGTGCTTAAAAGAGATACCTTCTAGGGAAAATGTGCTTGATATTTTTTATATTTTTTGTGGTATATACCATGCAGTTTTTGAGTATATTGTAGCAAGAATTTATTTATTTAGTGGACTATGAGAATTAAATCTCCATCTTATATATACTTCATGTATGTAATATCTTGTGGTCCACCCTTGTGGTACGATCGGTGCACAGGCTGCCCAAAATACACTCTAATTGTTAAAAAGAACTGACAATAATTACAACGAATGATGTTCAGCAATTAAACTGTTAGAACCCATTCATGCTCGTTGTGGTTTTAATCACTAGAAAATGATGTAAGAGCCATACTCCTTGAGTTAATCATTTTTCTTTTTTGCAAGATTAACAATTAACTTTGGTGCTTCACTTGCATGAATGCAATTTTTCTCAATAACAGTTAGTCTATGTGTAACTGGTTGCAAAGTCATTTGCATTTAACTTTTATTAATTTCCCCATGCTTAGATATACATTGAAGTTGGAATGTCTTCTTGTTTCAACTGATCATACACTGTCCTGACCATGATGAATTCTAAGTTGCTGTTTTGAGGAGAGCATCTTTTTTATGAACGAAGCAAGTGCATTTGCAAGGAGTAAACCAACTCTTTCTACAGCATGGTTCTCAATTTCAGTGAAATTTCATTAATTTTGGTACATTCTAAAATAATTGCCATTCGGTCAAAATGTTTCAGCAATTTCGGTAGTACACAGAAATTCAAATTATTTGTAAATGTTTATTGAATTTTCAAAATATTTGATTGGATCTCAGTCAAATTCAGTTTCAGAAAATTTTGGACCTTTGGCCGAAATGAAAAACAAAATCACTAAAATTTAGTGATTTGAGTAATGAATGAAATATTTCTGAAACTGAAATTCAAAATCATATTTCTCAAAAAATCAAAATCAAAATCATAGCCTGCAGTGACATAAATGAGTGGTATGGAAATATATATATATATAGGGACGAGGGGAGGCATCTCACAGTCTTTGGGGGACGTCCTCGGAGTGTCGTGGGGGATGAGGTTGAAGATCTCGTATGCGTTGATCATCGGAGGCAGCACAGATGCATTGGTGGCTGCAAGAGTAATATTGTACGTGCCTTCTGTAGCCTTGTACCAGCCAATAGAATACAGAGAATGAGCGATCAGATACGGGGGGCTGTATTTCTTGTACCACTCATGGTCGTTCAAGTAGATGTCGAACTGTCGGAGCTGGGTGTTTTGGATGTCGGAGAAGTGTAGAAAAATTTTAAACTCGAATGAACTTTTGTACGTTTCCCATGTACCGAGGTTTAGCACCGTGGCATTGTTGACAGGAGCGACGGCTGTCCGAAGAACAGGGATGGGCACAGCGTAGTTGTCTTCCTGCTGGATGGTCTCTTTGGTGGAAAGGTTTGCCCACAACGAGCTGACTTTCCATCCCCAGAAGCGGTCATATGGATCGTCGGGAAACCTTCATGCAAAATGACAATCCATCATTAAAAAAAGTAAAGGTTTTTCTAAGCCCAACGCACTATTGCCCTTATGCTTACCCTTCAACACCGCTTTGAGATCTATGATAGCGAACTAGCTTACTACATGAAAATAAAATTCTTTTTTATTTCTTTCAAATGAAACAATATATGGACTTCAAAATTTGCAGATCAGTGGAACTTCAGAACTACAATGTGTGAAAAAAATCGGATTTTTGGTCTAGCATAAATATATAAAATGTCTTTTTTTAGTAAAATAATAATATTTCAAGTATTTATGTTGCATGAAAAATCCCTTTTTCCCCACATTGCACTTATAATGTTTTGTTGTCCTGCAAAGTTTGAAGTTCATATGTTATTTTATTTGGAAGAAATAAAAAAGAGAAATGTGTCTATATATAGATCGCGATGCAAAAAATGGGAAGCTAGATAAGGGGGTGCAGTTTGCCTGGGTTCATCCACAGCTTTCCCTTACAAATAAACATAAGTGAATTGTTTTCTTCTTGAGACTATCTCTGGAAACCTTAATGCATCTTTTGCATATGATTCTATTGCGCTCAGACACAATAAGTTTACATATCTTTTTCATTTTACTTTGAGGGACCGTCGAAAATATCCACTGAAACGTGGTTCTAGGCGCACCCACGTTCAAAAAATATATTTAAAAGATAGCAAAGAAGTCAAACAATTCTGAAACTATTTTGCAACAAACATGGTCTAGTGTTATACTCACGTGTAAAGTTTTGCGAAGGAACGACTCCCATGGTCTTCTGTGCAAAAATAAAATAAAATTGGATCTATATAAAGTTACTTCCTCCGTCTCATAATATAAGAGCGTTTTTGACACTACTAGTGTCAAAAACTCTCTTATATTATGGTTGTGAAGTTTAAGTACAATTGTGGAGATCCAGTGACCATGATCTATTTAGCTATTATTGTAAAATCTAACCTCCCTGATCTACTTATATTAGGTACAACCATGAAGATCTAATGATTGTGATATGTTTAGCCATATAATTATGAAGATCTAATGGTATTTAGGCACAGTTATAAAGATCTAATGGTTGTGATCTGTTTGGGTACTCCCAAAAAAGATCTATTGTTCTTCATTGCTGAGCCCAAAAGAAGAATAGAAGAACGAGAGGGAAAACAGAAGAGCCAGAAAAACGCATGCCCCCGAGTCGCTCCCGCGGGCGACTCTGGACGGCAACCCTAGTGCCGCCGCCCCAGCTCCTCGCCTCGGCTTCTCCTTCCTCGCCGCCGGCCATGGCGTCACCGGCCAAAGGCCGCGTGACGCAGGCGGCGGCAGGGCGTCTCCTCCCGCGCGCAGGTGGCCAGCGTCGCAGGGCGCCCCCTCCTGCCCATCGCCGTCGGGTTGCGGCCTTCCTCTGCTCCAGCTCCCTCCCCATCCCCGACGTCGTGGTGGCCCGTAGGAGTGCTCCAGTCTCCCCCCTCCCGCTGGCATCGGCTTGTGGGGCTCCGGGGAGTCGGGTTGCTCTGGCGGCGGATCTAGGTCTCTCTGCCCAGATCTAGTTGGTGGTGGCGGATGGTGGCGGCGGGGATGGTTGACGGCCCTGCTAAGGTGGTGGTGGTGCTGCTGGTGGCTATGCTGCTCCGGTGGGGTGGTGGGGCTTCTGGTGGTGTTGGCTAGAGCGTGGACGCGCATGTTCTGTGGTGGTGGCTGGTGCTCCGGCGTGTGGCATTGGTGGTGCGTGTCTGGCAGCTCCGACGCTTGGAGCTCGTCGGGTGACGCGGGTGAGCAGCGGCCTGGCATGGTCGTTGCTCTGGCCGTGGGCGGCGGCGCGGGGAGGTCCGACGCTGGTGGTGGCCTCCCGGTGTCGTGGCGGCTTCACGGTGGCTCGGCGACTCTAACTGCGGCAGCGGCCGGCTTCTCCGGCTTCGGCTTGTCCCCGTTCGGACCATTTCGACCTTCGCCCCATCTTCTCGTCGTCCGGGCACTACTTCCATCGAGGGGCTGGCCCTCTCGAGCCGCGATCCATCGCTCGTCTCGCGCCCGGTGCGGCGGGACCGAGCTCGTCTCGCGCAAGGTGCGGCAGGACTGAGCTCGTCTCGCGCATGGTGTAGCAGGACTGACCTCGTCCCCCTCACGGTGCTGCATGACCGAGCTCGTCTCGCGCTCGGGGCTGCAGGACAAGCCGATGGATGCCAGTTCTGGCCTGCCTATTGGGTCTCGACGCTGGGGGTCGCCAAGGGGTGCGAAAGGTGGGACCTTTCCACTCATCTCTTTGGTTGGGGTAGCGGCAGGTCTTGGGTGAGGCGGTGTCTAGGTCTTGGATGCCGGGGCGGCGGCCCTGGTAGTGGTAGCGCGATGCTCTTGGCCAGAGCCTGTGGCTTGGTGCTGCCAGGTGGCTGTGGCCGTGTGGGCGGCGTGGTAGCCGAGGTGTGGCGTTGGGTAGCGGTGAGTGTTGGCCGTGGTGAAAACATGTCCTTTCTTTGGACAAACAGGCGACGCGAAGCTCGTTCCCTTTTTGAAGGCGTCGTCGCGGCTCTCATTGCCCGTCCTCCGGCTCCAGGAAAAACTCTGATCCTCGGATCGGACGGTGGCGGCGCTCCCGTGTCGTTCCCTTTCTGAAGGCCCCGCCTTGGAGCCCATGGTTCGTCATATGTGGCTTCATCTCTTTGCGGCGGTAGTGCTAGGGATGGTGTTGCTACGCTCAGCGCCTATGTATCCTGCCCTGGGTGTGTGTGTTATGGTGGCGTGCGTTTGTACTGGGTGATTGATGATCGGTGCTTTGTATATAAAGCGGGGCGAAAGTCTTTTTTTATAAAAAAGATCTATTTAAGTACAACTACGAAGATTCGACAAAGGTGACCTATTTAGTTACAGTTATTCTTTTAGATGTACAATTATGAAAATCTAACAGGTGTGATCTAGTTTGGTATAATTATGAATATCTAATGATCTAGTTTGTCGTGGTCTATTAGGTATGAAGATCCACAAAATCAATAGCCGTATATTTTACATTTCTTTGAGGATTATCTCTATATATTTCTATTTGTTATGCTTTTAGTATATAATAAATGAAATAAAGACCTTGATAAGTGTCATACGTGTGACACGAACACATGGCAACTTCAAACATTTTTTTATGATAAATTTGATGACATAAGGATGACAATTTAGTTGTCAAGCATGCTAACTTTCTTGTTGGATGGCAAGTTTCAGTTTATTTTTTGAGTTTGTTTTTTTCTTTTGGGATGTCAACTTTAGTTGTAAAAAACGTCAGGGTTGGAGTGTTTCGTGCCACATGTGTGGCACTTATTATTTGGGTAAAATAAGTAGATAGATGTGTTGTGAGAGATGGGAAAGATTGTGAACCAACCTATGGTATCCCCAGTCCATCAGAATTTAAATTTTGATACTTGCATTTATTTTTGGATTTCTTTTAACATTTCCGGCGATACGTCCTTAGTGAAAGGAGACGTTTCTGTCGACTACGAGGTGATTTGGTGACTTCGTCAATCTTGAAATGATATGCCGGCTCAATCTTTCAAAGATGCTCATAGAGATAGGGCATATGTGCATATTCATAGAGATGAGTGTATGCGTGTGTATATATAAGCGCCGCGTCTGTACTGTGTTAAAAAAAGATGGGAATGATTGAGGAGCCACCTTGTGGGGATATTGTGGCTTATGGTCGGCTTGTATTGCATTTCTTGGACGGCGATGTAATCCAAAACCACGGTATAGTACCATGCAAAAAGCAAGAATAAAAAAAGCATTGGAAGACTTCAAACGTACCGGTAACTAGTGTTTGCCCCCAGATTTCTCCTTGCAAAGGCGGATATCGACTCGTTGACAGTGACCTGGGGGTAAAGCGAGGGTAAGAGCGGCCTCAGCTCCACCGTGTTCACAAATGGCGTGCCGCCGCCGGTGTTCACCAGGCACAACGGCACCCAGCTCGCCCACGCGACGAAGACCGCTTCGGACCACCAGTAGTCATTGTTCCGGAACGTGTCCCAGTAGTTGCTGCCCAAGTGTACCTCGAACGACGGACTGGTCTTCCCGTCGTATTCCCCGTGTAAGAACACCATCCGGACCAGGTACTTGCCACCGCTCTCGGTTGGGAGGGTATAGCAGTTCCGTAAGCCAGACGGGAAGCTCCTGAGTGTGCGGAGGTTCTCGGCTGTAGAACTGTCATCGAACTCGGCGGCTACCCTATGGTTCTTCCCGCCGTCAACGTACGGATCGTCGGAGACGTAGGCGATGTTTGTGTAGGTGTCTCTGCGTCCGTTGAATTTGGCATCCAGGGCGCAGTCGATGCTCAGGAAACCTGATTGATGCATGACACATATTTACACAACCAGGACGAATAGAGTTAGAATATACCCATCAAAAGCGGCTATTTTAATTCCTAATGAAATATCTACAAAACATTTTTGTGCTGTATGTATATATGGATACGATCCATGCACTTGAGGTGAGAAATCAACCTTCTTGCTGACCGGCGACATGAACTGCTGTGGCTGCCAATAATGCACCAACGAAAACCCACAACGGCTCCATTGGGACGAGACAACTCAGTTCACCAATGGCAGTGGAGAACTGGGCTATGCCTCACGTATATATATATTGCGCGCCAACTTCAGATGAGCTCAACAGTGCCAAATACCAAACGCGTTGCAAGTTGCCATGGATAACACAAAGTAGACTATTCAAACCCACCAGTGGTTCCAAGCTTAGTCTATGCAACACACTCATTCGTCTGCTATTGTTATATGTAAAGTAACATTTGCAAGTTACTTGTGAATCTTTCGTTGCAAATATGATAACCGTCGCAAAAAACATTTTCAAAGAATCTAATAATGGCTGGCATTATGAGGAAAGGTTAGTTGACTTCTCCAGAGCCCTACATCTCATGGTGCCATTCCATTGTGCCTCGCCACAGTCCTCCGACCAAAAATGGGTTGGATGCTGGTTTCAGAAATATGCAGGCACCACTGAAAAATTCTAATACTATTTTCAGATTGAAAATTGTCAATCCTACATAGTTTGGTAAATTTACAACAAGTTTCTTTTTTTATTTTGGATCGAATTCATGTTTGTCATGCGCTCTTCGCCTACCCCAGAATTCCTTTTAGTTTGCCTTTAGCAATAATTAGTTTTTCTTGCAGGGTCAGAAATAGTTAGTTGTGCCCAGTTTGGATTGCTAAAAGAAGTAGGGTGTGATTAGATCATAGTCGTCTGAGACTTAACCAAGTCTTAATCAAATGACATAATGTATAAAAGAACAAAGAAAAGATTAAAAAGAAAATTTTGTACAGATTTCATGAATATAGCATCGACTAGTCTCAGTTGATTGAGATTTAGCAATATGTAAAGATGTATGTCCTACTTTTTTTTGGCTCACGTAACCCCTCCCTCCTCAAACTATCATATATGGAGCATTTAACTCGTGACAGGTTCACCTAAAAATATCCAAAAACCTACGTTTTGTTGGACGAGTATACAAATACATTCAGTTTGTAGAAAATGGCAATTTGTGCGAATAAAAAAAATTGGTTTTTTTTGCTGGTCGGAACATTTCATATTTCAACCAAACTTTACAAGTTAACATATTTTTAATTGGCCCCACTAGTTACATGTAAGGTAGTTACAGATTTTATTTTAAAATAAGTTTAGGTTTCATTTTGTCTTTTTCCATTTGGACAGGAATTAAATAACTTAGCAAACTCCCAATTCAATCCCAACACACTGTTGCGAGACAAAAATAAACGGATGTAGCCTTCCTTTTATGTTGTGATCCAAATTCAAGTATAAAGATAATGGGTAACTTCTAACAAGCGAGCGGAGCGAGGACTGTCGCCGGTAGGCTTGGGCTGAAGCGGAGTGTAGCGACCTAGGTCACATGTGTTATATAGATCAGATTTTGGATAGAACAACTTAACTAATACAATCCCCATGATTCCTAGAATTGGCATTGGTTGAGTTGACATTCGTTTCCTTTTATACTATGTACTTGTAAATATTTTCTAAATTAATGAAAATACCGTAGAACTACTGTTCTATGGTGGCTAAAAAATCATTTATAAGCCGCCGCACAGGACAAATTGATCAGTTGTGAATCCACGGAGTTTGTAATTGATACGTCTCCAACGTATTTATAATTTTTGATTGTTCTATGTTATTATATTATTTGTTTTAGACGTTTTATATGCATTAATATGCTATTTTATATTATTTTCGGGACTAACCTATTAACTTAGAGCGCAATGCCAGTTCCTTTCTGTTTTTTTCCTTGTTTTAGAGTTTTGCAGAAAAGAAATAACAAACGGAGTCCAAACGGAATAAAACTTTCACAATGATTTTTCTTAGACCAGAAGACATCCAGAGGACTTGGAGTGCAAGTCAGAGAAGCCACGAGGTGGCCACAAGGACGGAGGGTGCCCCCCTGATGAAGCTATGTACCTAGGGTAGGGTCATGGACCTGTCCAAACTGCCCTACCCAAGGACATCTCTAGAAGAAATCACCTTTCAATCGACTTGAAAGTGTTCCACTCGATAGACTCGGAGACACTCGACCAAGAAGCGATCACTCGACCAAGACCAAACCACTCGACCGGCAGGAGACCTAAAGGCACTCCGCACGCTAACGGTCGGTTATTAAGTAGTTTTTATGATCATCATAGCACTTTATTAAGGGCATTACCAGTAACGTCTGACCTTAATGTATTTAAAACCCTGCATAACTGAGGGCCGGAGGGGTCCGGCGAACTCTATATAAGCCACCCCCTCCTCAGTGTAAAGGGTTCGCACCCCTGTAAACCATATACGCATAATCCAGTCGACCGCCTCCGGGCTCCGAGACGTAGGGCTATTACTTCCTCCGAGAAGGGCCTGAACTCATAAACCTCGTGTGCTTACAACTTCTCCATAGCTAAGATCTTGCCTCTCCATACTTACCCCCCTACATTACTGGCAGACTTAGAACCACGACAATTGGCGCCCACCGTGGGGCAGGTGTTTTAGTGATTTGTTGGAGGAGTTGCGATCTTTTCCGATCCGAATCATCATGATTTCCGGCGGAGTTTTGGTGGAGGGCCGCGAGATCCGTCTCGGCGCGCTCACGTTCATCGCCGATGACTCCGCTTGGCTTCAGGAGGCTCCGCTCGACGTTGACGCGTTCCCTGTCCGCGAGGCGACGCACTTTCGCGCGTGCGTCCGCGGCATCCTTTTGCGGCAACCGTCGACCCACTATCGGTCGGCTCCTGTGCTGTCATCCCTCCCTGTTTCACGCCGGCGCAAGCGCTCCAGTCGGTCGAGACTTCAGCGGTGGGTGAGACACGCGGTGGCACGCCAGTCGGCCACCCCCCAAGTCGCGGCGATCGAGCCCGACGGATCCCTCTATGGCCTGTTCGATCTGTCAACTGGCTCCGCAGAGACCGCATCCGAGTGCAACAGCAGTGATCCGGCGGCGGAGGTTCTGATGGTCGATGGACCGCCCAGTCCTCCCGGTTTTCCCCGCACCGACGAAGGCGCGGGTGGAGGCGACCCGTCGCGTCCCCATGAGGAATATCTTCCCGAGCCCCTCACGCCGCTGCAGAGAGAAGAACTTCGTCGCCGGAACATGGATGCACTACACACTCCTATCGTTGGAGAAACCCCCGAGGCTCGTGCCTTGGAGGACGCGCGCCTGGCAAACTTGGCCGAGCACACTCGACTGGAGAACCTCCAGCGAGCACTCGACGAGTGTGCGCGGCAACGGGTTCCCGAATCCAGTCGACGTCAGCTCTTTCCGCCCCCGTAGGTATATCGAACTCCGATTCAGAATTTAGCAGCTGCAACCCGTATAGCAGAGTCGATTCAGCCTTCTCAGTCGGAGGCTGGCAGAGGCTTGCTGCAGATCAGAGCATTACTCCGGGCAGCAGGAGACCAGAATTCTGTTGTTTCTCAGTCGCGGAACAGGATTCACAGCAGATCCGTTACCGCAGACACAGTCCAGTCATCTCATAGCCCAAGATCGCCCCCGAGGCACGAGGGACGTGGGGACCGGCATAATCAGTATGGGAATCGTGAGCAATATGATCATCGATTCAATCGTGACGATCGACGTCGAGTGCCCACCCCTCCCCCGAGGAATGGGTCGTATGCTCCTCGACAGCAGGACGACAGACGCCCTCGTAGTGTTGGGCGAAGGATTCCAGTCGACTCCAGGGAACCAAGATTTGATGCGAGATCCATTCTCGTTCAAGGTTTGGTCGACAGGAACAGAGCTCACCAAGAAGGTCACGACAGAGATGCACCTACCAGCAGCAGAGCACATGTTTCGAGGCCAGAGTGCTTTAGTAGAGCCATCAGGGCCGCTGTGATTCCTCCCAACTTCAGGTTGGCGACTGGAGTCAGTAAGTTCACTGGTGAGTCTAAGTCCGATACTTAGCTTGAAGACTACCGAGTGGCCATCCAGATTGGCGGTGGCAATGATGAAGTGGCCATGAAGCACCTGCCTCTAATGTTGGAGGGCTCGGCCAGAGCGTGGCTGAACCAGTTAGCACCCAGCAGCATTTACACTTGGGAAGATCTCGCCCGAGTGTTTGTCACCACATTTGAAGGAACATGCAAGCGACCGGCAGGGCTGACTGAACTGCGGTCTTGCATGCAGAAGCCGAATGAAACTTTAAGGGATTACATCCAAAGATGGATCACGTTACATCATACAGTAGAGAATGTGCCTGACCACCAAGCAGTCTGTGCCTTTAAAGAAGGCGTCAAGTACAGAGAACTGAATCTGAAATTCGGTCGGACCGGAGATATGTCTCTGAATCGGATGATGGAGATTGCCACCAAGTACGCTAATGGTGAGGATGAGGATCGACTCAGGAGTGGCAAGCTCAAGTCAGTCGCTCAAGAAACCGGAGGAAATTCCAATCGGAAACAGAAGCGGAAAGCCGAGCTAGCTGCTCCTGGGGAAGCCTTGGCTGTAACTCAAGGAAAGTTTAAGGGGAAACCCAAAGGACCTTGGAACACCAAGAAAGTTAAAGACCAGGACAGAAATGATGTGTTGGATTTGCCGTGTCTCGTCCACACCAAGAAAGATGAAGAGGGTAATTTCATTTACCCGAAACATACCACTCGACAGTGTCGACTCTTGATCCAGCAGTTCCAGGGCAAGCAACCCAAAGATAAGGAAAAGGAGTCTAACAAAGTTGAGGACAAGGAAGATAGTGACGATGGATACCCCCAGGTCAATTCCACCCTGATGATTTTTGCTGATGTTGAAAGAAAAAGTCGACTGAAAGTCATCAACCGAGAGGTGAATATGGTTGCTCCGGCAACACCCAGTTATCTGAAGTGGTCTCAGACTGCCATCACATTCGACCGGTCCGATCACCCAATGCACATTGCCACCCCTAGGAGGCAAGCTTTGGTGGTCGACCCAGTTGTTGAAGGCACTCGACTGACCAAAGTCTTGATGGATGGTGGCAGTGGTTTGAACATACTATATGCTGAGACGTTGAAAGGGATGGGCATTCCGATGTCCAGACTCAGTACCAGCAACATGAGTTTCC